AGTTAGCTGCAGGGGTCAATGGAATTGTGTTGTCACTTACCATTAAATGGACTGTTAGTTTGTTTGTCATTATAAAAAAGCGTGACACGTGAACAAGCACACAATCCATCTAGATACTATATAATCTACATCAACCGGATATGTTTAAACTTATACTATTCTCTTTAATAGTCTCACAAATTGAACTATTCACTAAATATGTCTCCTTCCACAGTTGACTCATTTTGTGATGCTGAAAGAGCTGAAGCACTGTCGCTCGGTAGAAGAATTAATCGTTACAGACTCAGTGCGCACTAAAGCCAAGACATTTGTCAAGAAGTACATGGCAAAGTTCGGTCCAGTCTACAAACGACCACCGGAGGAAGCCGACTAGCGTAAATTATCGCGTTCTTGTGACGCCATCTAGTTACATAGTGACAAATAAATGAAATAAGTAAACAAGTGATAAGTGACAGTGTAAGTGAATTTATTGCGAAGGGAGTTCGTATTTTGTCTATAAAGAAAGATGTAGACAATTTAAGGTTGTGTCAACTTGTTCCAATTCGTTTTGCATTTTAATATTTTATTAAATACATTCTTTTTTATATAAATTACTAGATTAAAATAATTTAATACCATTTTATGTTTGGTAAAATATTTCATAGAAAGTGTTTTTATTTCATAAAAATAAGTAGCTACTTGACCAGACTGCTTCGCAAAATACTTTTTTAATTTATTACACTTTTTTTTACAATGTAAAAAGTGTATTATCACCAGATATAAGAATTTATAAAACAATTCGAGATTACAAGTTACTGAAGTTAAACGGCGTTTTCGTCGTTCGTTAAGATAGATTATGTAAATAATAAAATATTTAAAAGAACAAAAATTTACAATACAAGTTCGTCACTTGAATCTCGCAATGTTTGCAATACACCACTCGAAGTAATCGTAAAATGCTTGTGTTAGTACGTGTTTACGACAGTAATCGAATGGCGGATTCGAACCCATCTCAAGCTTAACCATCAGGCTACATAAATCAGTACTAATATTTTTGTTAAGTAAATATATATTTATGTATGTTCCTATATTTTCCCACTATATTGTCGGAAACGATGAATCCTGTGTCCCAGTTATGTAATAGAAGTTAATATATAAAACATGAATTGGAACAAGATACAAGTGATGCACGTAAAATGAAAGATATTATGTGTTCAAAAAATATTTTAGTAGAAAGTGGATTAAAATATGTCGGCATTGTACAAAAGTCATTGCTTCTTTATACTGTTAATCTAACAGTTTTACGCTGCAGTTATTATAAAATTTCAGAAATATTACTTGAGAATTTAAGTTCATTTGATTATGTTTTATGACAATTTTCAGTCATTATATTTTTTAAACAAAAACTATTATAAATTGCCTAATAACCTTTTCTTTCAACTTTAAGATCACAATTTTAACATGAGATAAATCATAAATCCTCATATTCAAGTATGTATTGATTTATTCAATAAAAAAAAATATCAAGAAACTGATCGAATTTGTAAATATAGGGACTAAGAATTAGATTATGACATGTCATCACCTATAATGATTCTATATATAATTCGTTATACTTTATTTTTAAATGTTTAGATAAGTGACATTTCAATTTAGGCGAATATTATTTTCAGTGGGTAATGCAAATTGTTGTATTTATTTTTACATGATCTCTAAATCGCGTGTGCATGTACAGAAATGGACAATATTTTCTTTAACTAAACATGTTTTACTCGAATTTGACGTAATTAAAATGGTTTTGTTTGTTTTATGAAGTACAGTATTATATGCAAATGATTGTCAAGTAATTTACACGCAGACGTTTACACGTGTGTGACGTCACACAACTAAGTAAAGAGAGCAAAGCGTATTAACCAGTGTGTTAGGCAATAATATATCCACAAAATGTATAGAACATCATTCATTCATTTATTACAGCCAATCTAAAGTGTATGTTCTTACATATACAGGGTTATCTTTTAAGGAGTAGCCAATTTTTTAAGTTAAGTTCAAATATATAATTAATGATATACCGTTATTAGAGTTTTTAAAATGCGAGTGAATAAGGCTTCTATTTTTATTTGAAACTAGCTGGTCCCCGTGACTTCGCCCGCGTGTAATTTAGGGTTTCAATTATTTTTGTGTGGATGCTAATTCTTTTTCTAAAATAAAAGTGGCCTAAGTTACTCCTTATAACATCAGCTATCTGCCTGTGAAAGTCCCGTCAAAATCATTCTAGCCATTTATCCCAAATTGAATGTGATTTATGGGCAACAACGTTTTTGCCTAACGATCGACCTTACGAATGTGTGCATGCCATCGATCACTAATAAAAAACCAGATACACAATTCCATGCAAAAGTTCTCTGAAAACTGTCGCCAATTGTTTTGACGTAATTGTATGTAAATTCAATCTTAAATGTAAGTTTAACCTTAAATGCATTGTCTAAAGTTGTAATGTATTCACAAAGCTATGTACAAATTAAAAGCGCACCCAAATGTTTGAGTGGACGCTCATTCGGTAAGGACATTTTTTGTCACTGATTGTGTATCTACTTTTTTATTAGTGATCCGATGGTGCGTGCGCAGTAAAATCAGTTAAAATAATGCATTACCACGCATTTTAAATTTAAAAGTTAAAAAGAACAGAATGTTTGAGATTTTTTAAAATTAATTTTTCTTCACCATTTGCCTATATTACATAACTGAACCTTCCCTGCAAATTTGGCCGGTTATTGCAAAATAACGCTGTATTACAGACATTTAAGTGGTAGGGCTAGCTGCAGCTAATTTATGGTTCGGTCGGCTCGACCGGGGTAGGACCACGCTCTCACAGAATACCAGTGTAATATAGCAGCTCAATGCTGCTGTATTTCGTATGGTGCACCGCATACCGTTTTTACTGGAAACGAGGCATCCCGTGTTAATTCTTTAGGGGTGACAAAGCATTTGCATTTTGATTCTTAATCGAGGATGAATGTAGATGTCTATGGCCCACATTATCCACTTACCATCAGGTGGACTGTGCGCTCGTTTGTCTCACTTTTTCTATAAAAAAAAAACTGTGTAGCTGTCATGGTTGTCAGGTGGTTTATTAACTACAGTTTTTTATAATTTTGAGTTATAAGGCATATGAAAAAGTCGCGTCTTATGACACCCACGGTATAACATGGAGTAGTGTATTCTCTTACGTCGCCATTTCACGACGGTATACAATATATAGTTCACGATATAATACACTTATATATGCGTTTCAGCAACATACTCATAGGCATTATTCGTGGACACGGAATTTCAAATCCTCTCAAATAAATATATAAAAGAATAACTAGTCTTAATACAGTGTGAGTGATGGCACTGCAGAAGCACGCTTCTCGACGGTTTTACTTTCGTTTTGATTTTACGATTATCGAGAGGAAAATGGCGCAGAAAAATAAGAAATCTACGTAACAACTTTATAAAAAAAAAACAGAAATAAAAATAATAAGTTATAAAATTTAAGTTTATGCATGTGTAAATTACATGTGATTTATTTCTGCGGGCTCTATATCGTAACAAGCGTCCCGTTGCAGATATGATTATACATACTATGTTATGTGGCATTGCTTGGGGGAGGCCTATATTCAGCAGTGGATTTGTGAAGGGCTGTAATGATGAATGAGGATGATGATGATGTTCGCAAGTCATTTTCAGAATTTTAAAATAATCATGTTGTGCTTTGTAACTTTATACTTTCGTTGGCACCATTAAAAAAGCCCAAGTGAAGAATTTTATTTGGATTTTTAGTTCCTTCCTATTTCAGGTTTAATTACTTACTCATGTTTGTGATGAATAAATTTATTAACACAAATTGCTACTGTTAATCTATCTTCCTTGTAAACAAATATGTACTGTAAACTGGTGGTATTTTAAAAATATTAAAAACAACATTTAAACACTGGATTTTACGTTTTGACTCTCGAATTTGTGAGAGGTTAAAAATTGGTAATTATTGAAAATTATAAATATTGTTGTATAACCAATGAGATACTGTAATCTAAATGAATGGTTTAACGTACACCAATAGTTCAGCAGCTCAAGTATATGTTTTTTTAATGTACTGAATCTAATATTATAGCTTCCGCGACACTGAAATTATGTTAAGTTATTAATGATCAAATAAACATATAAAATATTTACATAACAATTGATCATACCTAAATGGGTAGGATCCTTTTTTTAAATAGCGGTAATCGACGATACATAATATATATTAAGTATATAAAAGTATGTACGCAAATTTAAAAAGCATATAGAACTGGTGTAAGGTACAGTCAACAGAAAAAACTATCAATCGTTAATAAGAATAATATATTCAAATAATACGTATCGCTTAGCTATCGAAAAAAATTTTCTTTTGTCTTAATTAAATGATGAATCTATATGTTTAATACCGTAAAATATTTTTATGTGAATATGAGCTTATTTCTTTTTTAAAAACCTTACGAAAGACTCGTTATTAAGGTGAATTACTAAAAATTTACCCGTTTATGAAATAATGCCTACAATTTTAGTTTACCCATGTAATTAATTTAACAAACGTCGGAGCGTACGAAAACTTTATCTTATTTCGTAGTCTTGGACTACTTTATTTTGCGATGTCTGTGTGTGCCTTTATTTAAAACAAATTTCCACGCAAGAGTGCGTGTATTATTTGCTACTAGAGTCCGAGTCGACTGTAAATATTGTAAATATTGCAAACGAGTTGAATCACGATGATCGTTCTTGTTATAGAGCTACTATTATTTTTATCTGTAGAATGTGAATCGTGTGACATGAGATTGTGGTAGATAATGCAAGCGGTCGCTGCGAGTTGGTGATGGCCGGACTCGAAGCCATCAGAACAAATAAAAGGTTATTTTCTTTTAATATAACGTCGTTTTATTTCCATCCTGGATATAATCATTATTGAAATCATGGAATAAATATGGGCGTTAGCATATTTATTCCATGTCTTGAGCGTCCTTGCACTTCTGCGCGTGTTCCTTCACTTCAGCGCACTCGGCGTCTTCGCGCCATGATTGGCAATCCTGTAATAACAAATATATAGAAGAAATATAAATAAGCACACAGATGCATGACCACGAGACAGTTACTAAGTAGTACTAACATCTAGAAATCATACATATTTTGTAAAAAAAAGAACTTATGCGAACAGTATACAAGTTTTCTCTTCTCACAAACCCTTTTCTTTTCAACAAGGAGCAAAGATTAAATTTAATTTTTCAATAGCATAGGTTTATTTAAATGCAAATTTCTTAAAATATAAGGATTTTTAAATTGCGACATGTCAGAATTTAATTTTTGGCAATCTCGCAACAATAGCTAATGCAATCTATATCAGCTCTGATTAAATGTAGTGTTCTGCAGTTCTTTGTTGGTTCTGTGACACTGACCTTAAAATACAGGTCGGTCCAAATGGGTCAGTCACTGACCTATATAATACTATATACAGGTCAGTGAGGCCAGTGTTCTGTGATCAATATTTATATTGACAAATAACTAATTTGCTAATTTCGCAGTTTTATAAATTGAAAATTGTTTAATTCCCATTTCACTTAATTTATTGTAATTAAATGAAGACCTAATTTGTAACTTTTTAAACGATATTAAGATAATTTAATTTAAAACAGAAAACCGACAAAATTTACCAAAAAAGACCAAAAGTAGTAAATTCAAATTATATGCACGGATTATATGATGTATGTTGTAATTTATTAACGACTAGCTGTTCCCCGCGATTTCGCTCCCGTGTTAGGGTTTTTATGTTTTTGCGCGGAATCTTTCTTTTCTAAAATATAAGTAGCCTAAGTTACTCCTTATGAAATTAGCTACCTGCCAGTGAAAGTCCCGTCAAAATCGGTCCAGCCGTTTCGGAGATTAGCCGGAACAAACAGACAGACAGACAGAAATTTTAAAAATTGTATTTTAGTTATAAGTACCGTATTTGCTTTCATATGCATTTAGTAAAAATCTGTAATTTTGACATTACAAACAGACACTTCAATTTTATTTATTTGTATAGATAGTGTGTTCCCAAGTTCCCAATTATTTGCTGTGATTTACTAATCTTTTTATATGCACATGGTTGACAGAATGCAGAGTATAGTAATTAGCAATATCCGCGGAATTAGTACAGCATTCAACCCGTTAAGAGAAGTTAGCTTTTGTAGCCCGTATACTGACATTCCTAAAGCTTTTTTTATATTTTACTTGTCAAAGCGTGTGTAAGTTTTTTACATGCATATCACTCTTCAAAAGCTTATTAAAAAAAAAACGTGCCGTTCACACGCGGTAGAAATAAAATTTTTGGAAAACTAAACTTCGAGAGAAGACGAATGCAGAGGATAATGAGAAGGATAATTTTAGGTTTTACTTATTATAATATCGTTACCAAGTTTGAAAATTATATTACATTTTAGTCTGCACAATATGCCTATTAAATTACATATTTACTCTACATAAGTTTTCAATTTCATCATCGTAAGCACTTAATTATTCTCTAATCAACAAATTACGTCCTTAATCCTTACTGTTTTCTATCTCATTCCATCGCAGACTAAATCCTATAGATGTATGTATTTGTCTCTTTTTAGTGTCGCTTTTTCGTTTCATCGACTTTCAAGTCACAACAATTCTAAAGAAGTCATTCTTTAATGAACTTATCTGAACTAAATTGGATTAATAGATTAATGTGCATTGTATGCGTGATTGTATGAGTTTTTGTAAGTATAATTCAAAATAATACTACCCCCCAGGTATTTAAAGTTCCCAAGGTATTTGGACGGCGTAAATAAAAACAAATAAGATCGTTTCAAAAACTATATTAGTCACTTGTAAGCAGCATGTAGGTATAAAACGTTATGTTAGTACCTCCATTGTTTACAAGGCGACATACGGCGGCGTCGGTAAGCCTCTATGTCTATACATGTATATTCGTTGATATGGTGATGTTAAGATATATCTGCAAGATACGTGCGTAAATGATAGTAGATACCTATGGTATAAATTATGGTAAAAAAAATTACCAAACTTACCACGAGTACGTTTACAAACACGCAATCGTATAACTTCGACTCTATGCAATCGTGCTTGCTAATGTATTCCCTATATTTCCCGTCCAAACATTCCTTTCTCGCTCTAATCACCATTGGTTTTTCCTTGGGGTAGTCTTTCTCCCACTGGTCGAGCAATTTATTCACCTTGTCGTCGTCGATTTCGTCATCAGTTAGTACCTTTTCCAATTTTAGAACACATTTGTTGTGTTCGCACTAAAATGTTTTAGTATTAATAGCAAACTTAAAAGTGTTAATAATATTATTAAAGTTGTAGATATAATTATAATAGCCCACAGATCTGTAATGAATAAAAGCATAACCCGTGCGAGCGGCGTAGGGATCACCAGCTCGTCCGGCCCAGTATAATGAGCACATAGGGCACGCTTTTGAGAAATGCACGTTATTGAAAAGGCATATGTCTTGCTGTTTAAAATACTGAAGAAGCAGAAGTTATGGTTTAAGAGAATAATGAAAGAAGGCACGAGTCCGCTGCTCTGCTCCAATGCGTGTTGACGGACTTCGTGTGTACTGGATTCATTATTAGACTTAAAATTTTTCTTATGATGATCCTAACATTCAAAACTGCAATAAGTAACAATCGTTGGTTGCAGCGGCATCGAACTCTGCTTGCGTGCTACTAATATTTTTATTTTAAACCTTCTAGAAACGGGAGGAGACTTCTGTGCTCAGCAGTGGTACACTACACTTGTAGGCTGTGACTTTGTACCTTTTTAATGATCTTATTCTTAAATATTTTTTTATTATATATATATATATATATATATATATATATATATGTGTGTGTGTATATATTATGATACAAATCTATGGCAAATCTAATAAGGTTTTGCAATCGCATCGCCAGGACTTAGATGGAGACCGTGGTCGCCACATGACCATCGCCTTATCCCCTGGCCCCGAGAAGCCCAAATCTTTCGTTGCTGAATTTTCATTAGTCTGCAGCTTCATCAGCGACATAAATGTTGCTGCCACCTCTACTTAGGACAAGATCAATGCCACCATTGAGAACATTAGCCTAATCGACTCGATTGGCTCTTTCCGTTGCGCTTAAGTCTAACTCCTTCAAACACTTGGAAGTACAACCTACAGGTCGAACCAAGCCTCGCTCTCTGAGTGTCGCGTTCTTCAACGCAAACGGCTTCAGAGATCAAGAAAGAAATCGTCAGGTTTTTACGTGATTATGTCGATGTTATGCTAGTGCAAAATTGTTAAATATGTCGTAGTTAGAAATGATAGGATGACCGTGGTGACATAACCATCATCATCATCACCATCACAAATCCACTGCTGAACTTAGGCCTCCCCAAGGAATGCCGCAAAGCACGGTCCTGAGCTACCTGCATCCATCGACTTCCTGCATGTCTTACCAGGTCGTAACTCCATCTAGTGGGGGGTCGTCCTAAACTTCGCCTAGCGGTACGAGGCTGCCACTCGAGAACCTTTTTCACCATCGGTTGTCGGTTCTTCGAGCTATATGGCCGGGCCATTGCCACTTTAGCTTAATAATCCGTTGGGCTATGTCGGTCATTCTGGTTCTACTGCGGATATCCTCATTTATAAGTTTATCACGCAGAGAAACTCCGAGCATAGACCTCTCCATAGCTCGCTGAGTGACCTTGAGCGTCCTCATACGGCCAGCAGTGAAGGACCCCGTCTCAGATCCATAAGTCATCACTGACAAGACTCGGACTATTTGTCTTAGGTAAACATACACGTCAACAACTTCGACCTTAGTACTCCCAATAATTACCGGCATAGGTGTGATGACATGGACGTTAAACATAATCTTTGTTTTGTCCATGTTCACCTTAAGAACTATCCGTTGGGAGACACTATTGAGGTCATTGAGCATAGTGCTTAGGTCCTCCAGCCATTCTGCCATAAGGACTACATCGTCGGCAAATCGAAGGTGAGCGATGTACTCGCCATTGATATTAACACCGTCTACTTTCCAGTCCAGTGTCTTCCAATGCAGCGGTGAAGAGTTTCGGGAATATATTGTCACCTTGTCTTACACCTCTCTGCAGTTGGATAAGTTTCGTACTCTGGTTCTGTACTCTGATAGCCATCGTAGCCCTAATGTACAAACAGTTCAGCACTTCGATATACCGGCAGTCCACTTGGAACCGCTGAAGGGACTGCAGCATCGCCCAAATTTCGACGGAATCAAAGTCTTTCTCATAGTCCACATACGCTAGACATAGTGCCAAATTGTACTTCTCGGTTTTCTGTACAATTTGCCTCTCAGGAAACTGGCTTGTTCAGGAGGCTGGAAGTCGTCAAGTCTGCGTGTGAGAAGATTCGTAATGATTTTCAAATATAGCACGTAGACGGGGCTCAGAAGGGAAATCGGCCTGTAGTTCTTCAAGAGAGCATTGTCGCCTTTCTTGAAGAACAAGACCACCGTACTTCTGCTCCACGCCTCCGGAGTAGTGCCAACATGGAGGACGGAATTAAAGAGCTTCAGAAGGACTTCAAGTACCGGTTTTCCACCCGTTTTCAGAAGCTGCGCTGTAATTCCATCCACGCCCGGAGGCGTGTCGTTTTTAAGTTGCTGGAGAGCCATTCTAATCTCGCTCAGACTGACGTCTGGGATATCATCGGAATAGTTTCGGATAAGTCATGCTCTTGGATCGTTACTCATACTTGCGTGTGGCTCCAATGATGACGTATACAGCTGCCCATAGAGCCTCTCAATATCACTCAAAATCTCAGGTGTCCCGGAAATGATACTGCCACATTCGGTCTTCAGGTTCGACAGTCGGCTCTTTGTGGTAGAGAGATCTCTGGCAAAGACTTTGAAGCCCTGGTTCCGCTCGATCCCTTTTTCAATACGAATTACGAATAATATTAAAGTTACGTAAGTTCCGCCGCATGCATTTGGAGATTTGTCTGTTCAGTTGCCTGTATGCTGTCAAATCCACTGAAGACTGCAACTTCATTTCCCGTAAATAACATAACCAATCTGATCATAAATATGACGAATGTCATATCTTCGACTAACTACTAGCAACATAGAGCAACACGGGCCACCGGCGGACCGGAGGGGAGTAGCCATAGCGTATTTTTTCCGATACAGAACTCTCAGTCATTTTTCGCGTGGGAAAATCTGCGCATACAAAAACATTCGTCTGTCTCTACGAAACTCACACATAACAATTTCCACATACATTGTATTATAAGAGTATCGCTCGATGACAGCGAGAACCCGGATACGAACTCGGATCAGTCGTTCGACCGATCTGCATATTGCCGCCGCTGGCCCGAGTTGCTCTATGTGACATCAACATTACATCACGTGACTGACTGATCTCTGTAGTGGTATATATACAGTAATCTATGGACTGATCACTCGTGCCGTCATGGCGCATCGACAAAACGTAGGCGCGCGTCGCTTAATTAAGATGTCAAAGCTTCATCTACGGTCAAGAAGCACAGCCAGAGACAAGGAGATAATTTGCACACTGGAAGTTTATGACATACATTAAACAACATCGCTAAGGATTTCAGAAAAGTTATAATCACTGTAGGTTCAAATAAATCCGTACCGTCATGTTTTTGTCCATATACACGCTGCATTCACTTATGTCCAATCTGTCGTCTGAGAAAATCTCACTTGTGCAGCATATTTTGCCGTTGAGCTAAAAATATAAGTGCAGTAAAAAATATAAGTGCTAGCCCTTTGCAATATTTTCCATATATACGCTCACATACTTTCTCCCGCATATGATTTCCCACTGTAAGTGCTGGTGAAGTGCGGTTATTTCTTTGCCTAGTTCCTATGCCGATTAGTGTTGTACTACCGTTTTGCTTACAATTATCCATTTACGTTTCCTAAATACTAGGTATTTCATCTTTAACTTTCATATTTATAATATTCTGGTAGCAGATAGCCGTTTCAGTTACAATATAATCTAATCTAAACATAATTATAAAATGATTCCTAAATAACTAATAATTACATCTATCTGCATTGTATAGCAAAATTCATTAATCTACCGAATAATGAATTTTATTTCTTTACTCGAACTGACTGACCGGCCCATCCGTCGAAATTTTTTAGAAAAATATATTTTTATTCCCCTATATAACCATAGAATACTATAACATAGCATTCGATGTATTAAACAGCGGCTGTTTCATTTTGTGCTTTATTTGCATATATTTACTCAATTAAAATCAATATATTTGTTGAGTTTGTTACTAAGTGCCATTAAATTTGCATTTGAAGAGATTTCCTAATTGCGTAAACAAATTGCATGCCGTGTTGAGTTATCTGTTTAATTAATAGTTGGTCTTTTCAACTCTTTACATCCTAGCATTTACTGTAAAATTATAAATGAATTAGATGTTACGATGAGGGCTAAGAGTACCCGGAGACTATGGTCTACAGTAGGGCTATGGGAAATGTCCGTATGACTGTCGACTGAATCACAAATTTTTCGCTTTATGGAACGTTTAGAACTTCTTGTTAAGCATTGCTCCTACATGCATGTCCATGTATGTCTGAATAAGGTTCTCATTGATATCAAATCAAGGTATGAAAGTCGATAGTGGCGATGACCCTCAAATTTTGCCTAGTTTTGATCAGCTGCTGACTTTCTTATAGTAGACTAGCTTTTTACCCGCGGCTTCGCTCGCGTGCGCTTGAATTTAGGAACATCATTAAATGCTGTTCCGTGCCAAATTTAGAAAAATTCGATCACTTTTAGTCACTTCGGTGTCTGTCTCTATGTCTGTCAATTTTTTTTCATTCTAAATTACTATTAGACGTAGATGATTGGTAACATGCAGAAGCACATACAGAAACACGTGAATATATACATATGTCTAGAAACATCTACTATTTTTTTTATATCGGGCGTGTCTTCCGATTCCAATGTATCCATAAGAATGGTAAATAGTATTGAAAACAAAATGTATTATTATTATTTACATTTAACTCTTTACATTTATTTATAGTTAAAGTTAATTTAGTTTTAACAAAGTAATATAATGTTTATTTGAGACATTTTATTCATATCATTGGTCCTATTTAATATTGATTGGCACCATAAAATAGATGTAGATATTTTTTTACTTGGAGTAGAATTGAAAATTTCATAAATACAGTTCTATAATAATGAATAATACACATGGATTAAAACTAATGTTACGGATGTTTT